GGCAGAGACTTCTGTCTGCTCTGTTCAGCACTATACCTCTAGTGCCTCACGACAGGTGCCCAGGCCGTACCCGGTACACGTCCGCAGAAGGAAGGAATTACCAGCTCCAATAACCCACTTTCAACCAAGCCAAACAACAATTCATCACCTGCCACTGATCCACCCACTGATAACCACAGCCTGGAAACTGAAGAGTCAACAAAAAATTCAACTTCCCCTTTGTAAGAAAAGGACTAGATAAAGTAGAAAAATCAGGAGCTCCTGAATAGGAAAGATGCAACAGGAAAGGAGAAGACTTCTAATGGAGCAAGAATGTGGCTTCACAATAACTCTTCCTTAAAAAGAATGAAAGGAAACTCCAAAGGCCAGTGAACTCTCAATTCCAACATAGAAGCCATGTGATTTCCGGCTGCACATTTTTTTTAGAAATGAGTTCATGGCCAAGAGCTTTCTGAAGCCAGAAATGGGAAGATTAAAGCCAATTAAAGTAGCAATCAATACACCAACAAATTAGAAAATCTAAATGAAATGGGCAAAATCCTAGAAATACACAATGTACCTAAACTGACTCATGAAGAAATAGAAGATTTAAATATATCTGTAACTAATAAGGAAACTGAGTAAGTAATCAAAACCCTCCTAATAAAGAAAAAAGCCCTGGGCCAGTCAGTTTTACTGGTGAATTCTAATACTAACAAATTGAATCCATCAAGGACCAAAGACCAGGGGAATTCACTCTCCAATGCAAAAATGGTTCAACATACAAAAACAAACTAATGCAATATAATAATAGGATGGGGGGTAAATCACATGATCATCTCAATTGATGAAGAAAAAGCATTTGACAAAAATCAACTCTCTTTGTTATGAGAGTGATATGATATAAACAGTCAACAAGCTAGGAATAGAAGGAAACTTCCTCAACATGATAAAGGCCATATTCGAAAAACCCACAGTGAATGTCACACTCAATGGTGAAATACTGAAAGCTCTTCCATGATAAGGAACATAACAAGGATGACTGCTTTCACAACTTGTAGCCAACGTGATACTCAAAAGTTCTAGCCAGAGCAATCAGGCAAGAAAAGGAAATAAAAGACTTCCAAATTGGAAGAGAAGTAAAATTGTATCTGTTCACAGATGATATGATCTTATATGTAGAAATATCTAGAGTCCATGAAAAAACTGTTAGAATAATTAACAAATTCAGCAAAGTTCCAGGATGTCAATTTTGTAAATCAACAGAAAAATATCAGTTGCATTTCTGTATGTATTAACAATCTACAATCTGAACAGGTAATTAAGAAAACAATCTCCTTTACAACAGCACCAAAAAGAATAAAATACTTGGGAATATTTTTAACCAAGGAGCTGAAGGCTTATACATTGAAAACTAGAGAATACTACTAAAAAAAAATTAAATACTTAAAAGAAAATTAACAACTTAAGGAGTACCTGGGTGGGTCAGTTGGTTGAACATCTGCCTTTGGCTCAGGTCATGATCTTGGAGTCCTGGGATCAAGCCCTGCATCAGGCTCCCTGCTCAGTGGGGAGTCTGCTTCTCCCTCTGCCCCTTACCCCACCTGTGCTCTCCTTTTCTCACTCTCTTGTCAAATAAATAAATTTCAAAAAGAATTAACAACCTAAATGGAAAGACATCCCATGCTCATTGACTGGAAAACTTAATATTGTTAGGATGGCAATACTCCCCAAAATTGTTTACAGACTCAGTACAATCCATATCAAAATCTAAACAGCGTTCTTTGCACAAACAGAAAAATCCATTCTAAAATTCATATGGAATCTCAGGGATCCCCAAAAGCCAAAACAATCTTGAAAGAGAACTAAGAGGATTCATACTTTCTGATTTCAGAACTTACAACAAGCTATAGTAATCAAAACAGTATGGCACTGGCATAATGACAGACATATAAACCAAGAGAAAAATAGAGTCCTGAAATAAACTCTCACAGATATGGTGAAATGATTTTGAACAATTCAGTAGGGAAAGGACCATTCTACAGGGAAAGGACATTCAATAGGGAAGACCATTCAATAGGGAAAGGACAGTTATTTCAACAAATGGTACTGGGAAAGCTGGATATTCACATGCCAGACACTGTATTAGACACTTACAATATACCTACATAAAAATTAACTCAGAATGGATCAAATACCTAAATATAAGTGCTAAAACTATAAAACTCTTAGGGTAAAACATGGGGGAAAAGCTTCAGGATCCAAGGTTTGATAAAGGTTCCTCAGACATGACACCAAAAGCAGACGCACCAAAAGAAAAAATAAATTGTGTTTTATCAAAATTAAGAACTTTATGTATCAAAGGACATTATTGGGAAAGTGAAAAGACAACCATGGAATTGTGAGAAAACATTTGCAAATCCCATATCTGATAGGGGATTAATAGTCAGAATATATTAAGAACTCCTACAACTCAACAACAAAAGTCAATTAAAAAATGGGCGAAGGGGTGCCTGGGTGGTTCAGTCAGTAAAGCACTGGACTTTTGGTTGGTTTCGGCTCAGATTATGACCTTATGGGTTGTAGCCCCACATACTCTGCGTAGAGTTTGCTTGAAGATCCTCTCCCTCTGACCCTCCTCCCACTCGTGTGCGCAAACTCTCTCTCTCTCCCAAATAAACATATCTTTAAAAGAAAAACGGCAGCAGGGGAAGGACATGAACAGACATTTCTCCAAAGAAGATATACAAATGGCCATAGGCACATGAGAAGATGCTCAACATGACTCACTGATCACTCCGGAAATGCACATCAAAACTACAATGTGATACCACTTCACACCCAATAGGATGGCTATAATCAACAAAACAGAAAATACCAAGTGTTGACAAGGATGTAGAAAAACGGGAATCCATGTCCATAGCTGCTGTGGAAAACAACATGGCAGTTCCTTCAAAGGTTAAACACAGAACTGCTCTATAATCCAAAATTTCCACTTCTGGGTTCACACCCAAAAGAACTGAAACCAGAGACTCAAACAGATATTTATTTATACATTCATGGCTCACAACAGCCAAAAGTTAGAAGCAACCTCAAACAGATAAAATACGGTATAGTACAAAGGAGTATGATCCAGCTTTAAAATGGAATGAAATTTCACATATGCTACAACATGGATAAACCTTAAAAATGTTATGCTGGGGACACCTGGGTGGCTTAGTCAGTTAAGCGTCTGACTTGATCCCAGGGTCCTGGGACCAAGCCTCATATCAGGCTCCTTGCTCAGCAGGGAGGCTGCTTCTCCCTGTGCCTGCACCTGCCACTCCCCCTGCTTGTGCTCTCTCTCCCTCTTTCTCTGACAAGTAAATAAATAAAATCTTTAAAAAAAAAAAAAAGTTATGCTGGTTGAAATAAGCTAATCAAAGAAAGTAGTCAAATAGAATGGTGGTTGTCAGGGGCTAGGGTGGGGAGTTACTGTTTAATGGGTACAGAGTGTACATTTGGGATGGTGAAAAAGCTCTGAACATAGTGGTACGGTTATACAACATTATGAACATATTTCAAATGGTAAACTTTATGTTACATACATTCTGCCACAATAAAAAAAGATAGGGAAAAAGTAACCATTGGGCCGTATTTTCAGCCCTTTGAGAGAATCCGTCTTTAAAGGCCAGGTCTCCTGATGGCCTGCGCATCCTTCCCATAGCAACAGGCCCTAAGGATGCTATGTTATCGGTTGTATTCTGACCTCAAGCCCAGTCACAGTAATCTGGGCCCCAAATCCCAACCAACAGACAGGCTGGCTAGCCACCGAAAAGCTGAGGGCTGTGTTTCCCTCCGCCAGGCAGTTTTGGGGCAGAACCCTCTGACAGGGTCAACAACATGCCAACAAAAGCAGAAGCCAATCCAGCTAGCTTTCACTATTACTTCCCCTTTCACTTTCCCACAGGGTGGCCATGCAGAAAGGAAACACAGGCCTGACTGACCAGCCTGACTCTCTAAAGTTGGAAAGCTGAGTCCGTTTTCCCTCATCCATCCAAGGTCTAGATATTTACTAGCCTTTATATTTTGTAGAATTAACAGTTTTTGCTCATCCAACAACAGCGGAACTGACAGGCTCCACCCTCTGTGGGTTCTAGTGCTCTTTCATACAGAGGACCCTGTCAGATCTCAAAATAACCCAACGAGAATTAATATAGAGGACTTCTTATCCTCCACTGCGGACATGAAGAAACAGGCTCATGGATATGAAGCAATTTGTCCCAAGTCCCACAGCCCCAAGTGGCAAGGCCTGGGTTTGCACACCGGCAATGAACTTCAGAGCTCTCCTTCCTCCTGATTACTCGGAGAGAGCAAGGAGGTGGAAACGGAATGGGACCATTTTGGTGTCAAACAAAAGCAAGAAAGAGGCTTCCAAGTTTGGTAACTAATAGGATTAGGAGGTCCATCCCCAGAGAAGTAGCCTAGGAACAACTAAGTGCCCTCCTCTTTCCCTGAGGTGCACCGTGACCTAGAAATGGGTCTTTGTTTTTGCACTTTTGTACTCAAATTCCAGCTGGGTCCCGAGAGTACCGTCCCGTACTGCCCGGCCCAAGGTGTGGTGGCGGACAGGGAGGGTCTGCCACATTCACTGAATTTCACCAGGCTGGAAGGCCGTCTGGGTCGTGGGGGAAAGCGGATGATTCAGGGCGCTCAAAAGCGAAAAAATTACGCCTAATACAACGAGCACCCAAAACTTAGAAACTGCTCTGGAGACGCATAACACAAACACCAGAAAGAAACCAAAATCCCCCGTCCCCGCCTCGCGCATGCGCGGCGACGGGGAACCAGCGCCAAAAGAGTCCCAGGCAGCTAACCAATACACCAGGTAGGCGGGCTCCGACTCCTCGCGCAAGCACCACCCGCGCGCGCATGCGCGTCACCCGCAGCTGCCTTTTCCTAGTAGTCCCCTGCCCTCTCGTCCCTGTTCTGGACCCGAATACTGGCTACCTCAGACACGGCCCTCACTCTACATTCCTCACCTTGCGCCCGGTTTTTTCCCTTAGGGCTTTCAGCCGTTCCTTTCGCCGCAAGGCCTCTTCCTCTAGCCGGCCCACACCAGCCGCAGTAGCCGCCATGTTGCCCACCCTCCTCTTCTCTCGTCCTGCATCGCGCAGGCCCCGGGAGTAGATGAACCTCTGGCGGCCAATCCAGTGACGAGAACGGGAGATCAGGAAGTCCTGAAAGCCAATCAATACTGAGTTGCTATAGCGGGGCCCACCCCACTATTCCCCGCAACTAGCCTCGCCTTGGGGGGAGGGCACGGTAAAGAGAAAGGCCGTAAGGCTCGATTCGTCCAATGCCCATCAATGAGAAAGCAGCAAGTGGAATCAGACCTGAGTGAAGGAGGATAGAGCGCGTCGATTGCTCTGCTTTTGCCTAAGCAAACGCCAACCACGCCTCTCACTCCGTACCCGCTGCCTGGAATGCACTGACCCAACCCTGTCCCCTGTCCAGATTCTTCAAGGCCCGAATGCCTTCAAGAAGTCTTCCCTGTCCCCGATCTCAGCTTAATAAAAGATCTGCGTCTTCCTTCCTCTACAGGTGTCAGTGACTTCCTGGATGCACTTGTTCATGGGCCCCTAGGCCCTTCTGTATCCGCTCTCAGCTCAGATAAAGCCTGTGCAGTGCAGGGCTTGGCTGGATGGCCGTTTCCTCCAGGCTAATGGGTGATGCCCTCCCACCTCCAAGCCCCGCCCCCCCCGGAGCAGCAAAGTACTCAGAGTCAGACTACGTAACTTGGAGAAGAACAAACCCCCAAAGTGGGCCCAGTGGGCCTCCAGGAACTCCCTGAGCTTAGTTCCTGAGAACTACTGAGAGTTGATTTGGCCTTGATTGCAACAGGTAGGCAAGAGTTACACTGCTCGCCAGCAGGAGTTGCCAGGGTCTTCTTTCCTGCATTAACCAGCATGTCCTGACAACCCGGAGACCACTTTGGCTGAAGTTAAGATCTTCCTACAGGATGCCAAGTTCCCCAAAGCCACCTAGAGGCCATGCCTCCCTCCCCCAACACATACCATGACTTGTCTCCTAGCAAAGCTGTCTCCTGCTTAGGGTCTCCATTCCCAGGTTGGTAGCAAGTGGATGCCCACTCCTCCCACTTCCTTTCAGAGGCCCCTGTGCCACAAGACGTCCGTCCAGCCCCTCCAAAATGACCCTCTTAACCTCACTAGCCAGGGCCTTTTGGTGCCCTGTTCCCTCACATCCAGAGGGGCGAACCGTCAGAACCTGTACCAGGGTCCCAGGGAGTACCAGGTAGCAGGTGCTCAGGAAATGTCAGCTTAGAGGTAGGATGCACAGGGCAGGAAAAAAGGCCAGAGTGGAGCGGCTACCCAAGAAGAAGTCAGGAGGACAGAAATGGATGGGAACTGGGAAAGAGTCTGTCTTCTCTTGGCCACTCAAGGTCTGGGAGACTCCAGACTGCAGTTCTTCTACCTGAGAGTACCTTTCTGGGCTCCACAAACTTCTCCCTGACTCCAACAAAGGGCCTGACCCCTGCCCGCCCCTCACCTCCCTGGCAGGCTGGCCAGGGGAGGGGGCAGGGAGAGGTCCCGGGGTTGATGCTGGCAGTGGGCCAGCAAAGAGTCAGGCCTCCATCCCTGTCCACCCTGTCCACACTGTCCCCGGCTACCCAAGTAATTCTCACTTGGCCCATCTGGGCTTCAGTTTTTCCATCTGTAAAACAGAGGCATGAGACATCCTCTTGCCTTTAACCTCTTGAGGTTAAAGAAAACAAAAGATGTGAAGACCAGTGCTGGGCCCTAGAGTGGAGGATGCTTTTACAGGAGCATCTAGAAGGCTCCTTGGAAGAGGGAACCCGTGAGGATTGCTTAAATCTCCCAGGGATCTGCAGGACGCATGAAGGGCACTGCTCTTTGATGTCCCCATCCTGCTCCACAAACAGTAGAAGCAAAAACGTGGCATGTCGGTCTCCCCATTAAAGCGCTTAGAACAGCACCAGGCACGTGGTAAACTCTACAAGTGGCCGCTGGTTGTTGTTACCATTTGTTGAAGGACTCTAGCCATCTGAACGCGGCCCGCACCCCCTGCCCCCCCACCCCCACCCTCCTGCCCCGGGAGACGGAGACCCCATCCTTGCACGAAGGGAGGAAATTCCAGCCCTGCGCACTGTGAGGGGGGGCAAGTTTGGAATACCTGACCCCGACCCACACCCAGGAGGCTCAGATCGGCCCTTCCGGAGGCGCAGCGGGGTGCGCGCACTGCTGAAGGCGGGGCTGCTGGGCGCCCTCCCGGACCGCCCTGACCTCAAGCTCCTCCTCCCTCGGGGCTCCCCGCCCTTTGCACGGTCCCGGGAGAGGCGGGGCGGTGGTAGCGGCAGCTAAGTGCAGGAAGCCGGGCGGCAGCTGGCCGCGAGGAGGAGGAGCGTGCGGACTTGGGTGGCTTAGCGCGGCGGGGGCCAGTACTACTTCCCCGAGTAGTACCGCGCCGCTCCGCCCCGGAGTGACGCCCTCCGCCCATGGGCCTGGCCGAGGGCAACCCGCGGGCGGCGCGGAGGAGGCGGCGGCGGCAGGTGGCGCGCAGCAGGGCCGGAGCCGGGCCGGGACATGGCCGCCTCGGAGCGGTTGTACGAGCTGTGGCTGCTCTACTACGCTCAGGTGAGCCCGCCCCGCGCCGCTCCCGCTGTGTCCCCAGCTCCGCGCGCCCCGCTGCGGCTGCACCTGCGCCCCCGTTCCCGGGGCCGCGTAGATGCACGCGCGCGCCGAGCGGACTCGGGTTCCGCACACACGTGTGCGCCGCCCCCGGCCCGCCGGTGCCTCCGGCGCCTCAGGCGCTTATACCTGGGGGATGACCCCCGCAGGCGTGCATCTCCCAAGAGCTTCTTGGGTGGGGACCGCGCAACCTCGGTTGTGCCTGATGAGGAGAGGGTCCCAGGTCGAGACGGCCGGACACCGACCCTCTTTTACAGATGGAGAAACTGAGGCTCGGAAAATAAATGAAAGACTTTGTTGGGTTGGGAGGGGCAGGAAGGCTTAGTTTGCATTTGGGCTTGACTCTGCTGTGGGCGCGGCCCTACTGGGTGGTCAGGGCCGAAGGGTCTGAGTGGGCTGCGGGGTGGGGAGGTTACCGGTAGGCGGGCGTTGGGGGTGAGAGGTAGGGGGCGTCCCTACTTCGGTCCGATTTGAGTCAGCTCAAGCTACTCCGCATCAGTGCGCGGCAGTGATGAGCTCCTCCCTGACCCTGATCCTAGGAGGCCCTTACCCCGCCCCTGGGTGGATCTGGGGGTCCAGCCAGAAGAAAAGATTTGCCTTGGATGCAGAGGGAAGGGATAGGGGAGGTGAGATAGAAGGGATGTTTGAAAGGGGTGGAGGGAGGCCCTTCCCTCCTGAGCTCCCTGTCTTGTCTCAGAGACTACCTCACATGGCCTCAGAAGGTGAAGGGAATGACTCCCACCCCGGTGTCCTGCGAGAGCTGAGAGCCTGGGGTCCCCCAGACTCTGTGTCACGCACCTAGGCTCCCACTTTCCTCTGCTTTCACAGCAGGGAGGGATCCCAGGGTAATGCCCCCCTCCTCTTCATCTAGCATCGGCCTCCCTCCCTGCACCTGCCTAGATTCATGCTCCTGGCTCAGGTGTGCCCTGGGTACAATGGACTATTGTGTACCCCTGATCTCGTCACTGGGGGAAGTTCATGACCAGATCAGCTGGCCCTCTGTGAAGAGGCTGGCCGACTGTCTCCTAGGACAGCAGGCTGGATGTGGGGCCCGAGGGACCCAGAATCCAGGCCACAAGGACCATGGCTTCTTGAGTCCACTTCGGGGGTGAGAGGTCCAGGCCACTGGCAGGAGGCAGTGTGTGTAGGGTCCCTGTCTGGTGTAACCCAAGGCAAAAGCTCTTTACACCTGAGTCTCTATTTCTCTGTCTATAAACTTGTCCCAACCCTGACATCAGGGCTGGCCTAGACTCTACAGAGGGATAGCCCATCTGGCTTGTCTGGACCAGGGAACGCTCCTGGCCCCCTGGGGTCCCCTCACTCAGGCCTCTCTGTCTACATCTCCAAGGGTTGGTCCTTGTGAAGAGAAAAGATTCAGAAGGAAACCTGCATCTGGCCCTCATGCCTCTGATTGCCCCAATGGCTGTGGGCAGATTCTTGGGCCTTGGTTTTGCCACCTGTGACGGGATGAAGCGGGGCACGAACCAGGTAGTGAGTCTGAGGGATGTTAATGTTAGTGCTGCGGGGGGGAAGACCATCTAGGTGTGGTCTCCCAGGACTGGACCTCCAGCGGAGTGTGGTTGCCTCCTGCTGCCCCTTCTAGGCTGCGCTCTGCAGAAGGTCAGCGCCCCCATTCCCTCAGGAGGGACTTAACACCATTTCCGCTGAGTTCCCTCTACCGCCCCAGCTCCTCCCCTAACCAGGGCAGGTCTGGGGCACGGGCTGGCTGGCTGGAGCCCTAGAAGCCCGGGCAGTCAGGGGGCGGCCTAGGGCCTGGCAAACAAATCCAGGATGTGAGTGTGAACCGGAAGCTTCAGCCAACCTCCCCGCGCTGCCTTCCTGCCCGCTTGGTCCTGCTCCCGCTCCCGGAACAGGTCCCCACCCCTCCATGCTGGGCTCCCAGGGAGTGGTGCCTGTGGTGCTTTGAGGCCTGCTAGAGACCTGTTGTGTGTGTGTGCTTGCGTGGGAGGGCGGGGGCGGAAGGCGAGGGACGAGACTGAACTGATAGAGGGTGTTGAGAGACCCCTGAGTTGGCCAGCCACCCAGCCAGAAGGTTCTCCCAACAACCACGCCCCTCCCCTCAGCTGAGAGAGCTGACATCAGCTGGGAAACCTGTTTTCCCAGTTGTGGGTCTAGGCCCGCCCGAGGGAGCACCCCCTTTCTGCCCTTCCGTTCTCCTCACAGACCCCAGGTTCAGACCTGCCCGTCCCCACCTCCCTCTGTGGGCCCTACTCCGTTGGGGGTCACAAGCGGGGAAGGTGGCGCCAGGTGGCTTCTGAGAGAGGAAGGAGGACCAGAGCCTTCCTGGACATCACTTAGTCTGAGCCCCTCAGGGCCCCTGTGGGGAAAGCAAGGCAGGGTCATACCAAGGTCATGGGACAAGTTGGGGGTAGAGTCTGTCGGAGCTCCAACCCAGTCTTCCTCCTGTGTTCCTTTGCCCAGGAAAGGTCTAGTCCTGTGGGCAGGAAGCCTCTGGTGGGTTCTGCACCCTGGGATGGCACAAGCTGTTTCCTCTGCATGGAGCCTTCTCCCTCCTGCTTGAGCGGGCATTTGTCTCCTGTCCCCTTGACCAAGCCGGACCTCAGCACAGGTCCCCATTTCACCCTCACTGTGCTTGCTGCTTGGCAGTTTCCCTGCACCCCACACTTCAAGAGGCCCCCTGCATATCCACTGCGTGGCTGGCTGCAGGAGACGAGCCCCCCCCAGCAGTGACTGGTTGTCAGGGGGCCGAGTTTGGGCCTTGTGGGCAGAGGGGATGGGAAGGCCAGGAGCAAGCACCTGGAGAGGCCAGGGATCAGGAGTGATAGGGAGGCCTGGGTGATGGGTGGGGCTTCCCCAGCAAGGTCCAGGATGGGGGCAAAGATCAGAGGCCGGGGGCTGGCCCTTGGGCGGCATATAAAAGTTATGCAAAATAACATGCAAACGAGCAACTCCTTTGGGCTGGAGCAGTGTTGCTCCACAGACCCCCAGTGAAAGGGAGCGCTGTGGGGCCTGACATCTGGGGCACTCAGGGCCACAGAGGTCAGGACAGGGCAGACATTCAGGTTCCAGGTGGGGAGCCCAGGCTGAACTCTTCAGTTATGCCACTGAGGACTCAGGGTCCAGAGTCAGAGGGAGGTCAGGACAGAGCTGGAGTTGACCTTGCTCTGTGCACCCCGCCTTGGTCCTTAACTCTGACTGATGAGCTCTGTTGCCTCATGGAAACCTGGTCAGGCTCTCTGCTCCCTCTGGGACCTCAGCTGGGTCCTATGCCTCCCTGTGCCTCAGTTTACCCTCTTGAACAGGGAAAAGGGAAGGTAGGCTAGTCTCCTTAGGGCAACCAGGGCTCCCCCTTCCCTGCATTTATTACCAAGGCAACTGAAGGG